TCTGTTTGGGGTTGGGGGGCATGAATGGAAAAGAGATCAGGAACCTGTCTACTGTTCCAGAAACCAGATGAGCAATGGGAATGGAGACGGAAAGGGACTTTAATGAGAATCAAAATAGAAGGGAGGAGCCAAAGTGCAAATTGTTTGCCCCCCTTGGGTGGGGGACCATCCTGACCCACTCTACTTCCCCCTCATCCTCCTTCAGGCCCCCAGCGGAGGCCCAAGGCCTGGAGCTTCTGCCTCAGATAGCTCTTCAGCTGGGGCAGACCTCTCTGTGACTCCAGTTCCTCGAAGGGCAGCTGTGGAGAAGCAGGTTACCAGTGAGGCTGGAGGGGCCAAGAGTCAAAAAAAAACAACAACAACAAAACCCCAAAAATCAGGGTAGGGGCATCTCTCACTGGTAGGAGCTGGTAGCCCATCAGGCCAAGGTGCCGCTCCCTCAGGGCCCTGGAGCCCAGCAGCACTCTGCCATCCCGGCAGAAATGCCAGCGCTCTCGAAGCATCAGCACCACCCTGGAGGGACAGCAGGCCAAGGTCAGGGCCAGCAAATCCAAGAGAACAGGACACCCTCCCACACCCTGTTTCCCTTACCTTTGGGTGGGGTCTCGGGTAGTGGGGTTCAAGGCTTCTTGGCCTTGAGGACAGGACCTTGGTGGATATGGTAAGAAGGGGTCTTGGGTCCTCACAGGAAGCACAGCACCGTTACTGCTTACACACAGCAGGAAGTCTGCAGAGGGGGACAAGGAGCCCCGACCCTTAGCCACGGTCCCACCTCCTCCCCAGTCCTGCTGCCCATCCACCTGTGCTCACCTGTGCAATAGCCTGGTGGTACAGTCAGGTCCTGGCGGTACTTCTCCTCCCCCAGCAGTTGGCGCAGCCCCTCAGCTACTATATCCTTATGACTGAGGGAAGAAGGACACTGATGGTGGGAAGGCCCAGGCTCTCCAGAGGTCTGTCTTGCTCTAGCTCTGTGATCTGGGCAAATCCCTTCACTGCCTTAGATCAATCTTTGGTGTGACTGTTTTTGATAAGGCAGTTAGGATAATTCACAGCCCCTCTGGTTTTTCTTCTCTAGGATTCAGAGCTAGTTCCCTCCCCTTACTCCCAGCTGCCCCATCCACCTGTACTTGCAGCGGGCACGGTCGGTGATAAGTGGCTGGGGAAAGATGGGCACTTGCTGCCTCCTGGGAAGGCGGGGACCCTGGTATCCTGGGAGCTCCAGCTCCACAGCTGTGTCAAGCAGGGAGAGGTAGCGACGCACAATCAGAGCATGAGGTGTGCCTAGAGGAAAGCAGGGGCTGGACACGCTGGACTACAGACCTCCATCCCAGGCCTCCCCACCACAGCTCATGGATGAGCTAGCTACCCAGTCTGCATACCACTAATGTGGTTGATGAAACCTGGTGAGAAGACAAAGTGCAGGGCTCTGAAGGGCAGACATCGCAACTGGCACAGTGACATCAAGATGTTGACAGTGGCCAGGGGTGTCACCCCTGCTTCTCGAGCCAGGATCCTCTCAAGACAGGGCATAAACTGCTGTTCCAGAGGCAAGTAGTTCAGCCGTCCAAAGGGCAGGACCAACTTCTGTACCACCTGTTGAGAAGCAGTTTATTACACAGCCGCAAGTTAGCATCAATTTTATAAACTGAAATTTAGGGAGCCTTGGCCTTCAAGCTTACGTAGCTGTGAACATACACACCAGGAGTTAAAGAGTATAAGCAGTGTCTTTAAGTCCTACGTGATTAATTAATCACCAAACAGACATCACTGTGGGGGCTGATCCTAATGGCTTTAAGGAAGGAGTGGGATCAATGAAGCCAAGATGGTGGTACTTAAAGCATGAATATTTATGGTTATGGAGAGTTGGACAGGTTAAACCTCAAGGCAACAAACAGAGCAGCCTAGAGGGGTAAGTTGGCTGCAGGAAAAAAATGGCATTAAAGCCAGACAGGTGGACAGGGCTGGCCTGACACTGGCCACAGAGAAGAGCAGGGAAGGGCGGGAGGCAATCCCACCTTGCTGTTGAGCTGGGCTTCCTGAACCACCAGGAAGTGGGCAATGGCTTCCAGAAGCTGGGGCTCCCGCAACCGGTGCCGAGCCAGGTGCTGGGCCAGGAGCACCATTACGTGAGGAGTTAGTTCCTCTGGCCTTGCCTCTGTGAAGAACAGCCTATCATGCTGGACTCTCGGGCCAGTCCTCCAGTGGGCTATGTTCCAACTCGGCCCAGGTGCCATCACTGTCTCCACGTCCTCAGCCCTTACCCCCCCATCATCCCACCTGTCTGTACCCACTCTGGCACCTGCCAGGCTGCGTATCAGATGCTGCCGTGGATGCCGCAGGAAATGGGGGCAGCTCAGAGCAGCTTCCAACCTCTGCCCACCATGAAGGACAGGCTGTACAGGGGGAGGTGGCTTCGGGGGAAGGCGGAACCTTCGCTCTTGCTCCAGGGCACAAACCAGGGGTCCATCTGATGGAAAGCCTAAGGGAAAGAGTCAGAGGAGATGGTAGTGGGAATGGGGCATGTAGGCTCCTCTGTTCTAGTCATGTGGCTAGTGGATCCCCAACCTTTCTCATCTCCACTTCCTGCTCTGGAAGGGTTGCTACAGTTTATGTGGAAACACTGGGAAATAGGAACATAGTGTCAGAACAGCCTATGGGGAAGGTCTTATGTAAAAAGTAAGTTCTCAGGCCAATTATGACAACTTTTAATGATTCCTAGAGCACTACATTAAAGAGAAGCTGGGTAGTATGCCCTAAGCTGGACAGAATGCTGTTTGACTCCTGATGTCCGTGTGGATAGAGGAGGGGCAGCAGCAGTCATTGTGCCAGGGTATTTGCCTTTCCTGGACAAAACCCTGAAAGGTGAACTCTGTCTTAAGCTTGGGTCCTCTGCTGCCCTCCTCTGCTTTTCCAATATGTCCCACCACCACCCCCTTCCCTGCCCCCAAAACATCCTCCTCAAGCCTTTCCTCACCAAGTAAGACTGCAAGGTGCAGACACACATGGATGGTGTGAATGTCAAAGGAGGGGCAGTTTCGGATGATGAGCTGACTCAAGTCCTGCAGTGTGACCTGCTCCACAGGAGGAGGCTGTGGCCGCGACCCCATGAGCTGGCCCAGACGACGAAGCGCCACAGGGTAGTGGTGGGCACGCACCTTGGTGGGGTTCTGGCTCAGCCATCGCAGTAGCTCCCCAGGGCTCCTTGCCTGTTCCAGAAGCCGCTGCAGCCCTTGCACAGGACCTGCATGGAGGCCTCCTCCAGAGGTCCAGTCCCCCCACTTGCTAGGCCCCAGACAGCAGGGCTGTACGGGTGGGAGCAGCAGCAGGCCAGACAGCCGAGCAGAGGAGGCCTGGGCAGAAAGCAGGACTCGAAGCATGGAGCTGGGAGATGGAGACCCTGAGGGGCAGCCCAGAAAACGGGGTGAGGTCTTCTCCATAGGGGAGAGAGGCCTACTGTCTACTCCTTACCGCACTCCCCATGCAGAGGTGCCCAGCACCAGACTCCTGGTCACTCTTCTGTGTGGCCTGCCTTAGCCTCCCCGCCCCTCTGACTTCCAGGACACAACGTGGTGCGCTCAAAGCAGGGCCACCGACAAAGCACCTTCCCGTGCGTTATCGCTCATCTCCTGACAAGCCCGTGAGGTCAATGGGGCAGGAAGTAGCTCCCAATTTCACAGATGAAGAGACCAGGGCCCAGAGAGACAAAGGCGATAAGCCCGAGGTCATAAGTGGGCTTGGTGGTCGCGCCCAGTCTGGAGCCCTGATCGGCCCGTACACAGACCCTTCCGACCACCCTCCCCTCCAGCTGGCGGCAGCGGCAGCACAGAGGGTGTAACGCGGGGTTTGCGGTCGGATGGTCCTGGACTCCATGCTAGGCGCTGCCACTTACCAGCAGTGTGACCTTGAACAAGTGGCTTCGTCTCTCTGCCTAAGTCTCCTTACCTGTGAAATGAGAGTGCAGCGCCCGCCTGGCAGGGCGCCTGTGGAGCCCGAGTGCCCAGCTTTGCAATGGCGCGAAGTCGGCGATGTCAGGGCCCCCACACCCACCCGGGCTTCGGAATACCGCCGGCACCGTCGCAAACACGAATTCCGCCCCACTCCCGCAGCCCACCCTGGCAGGCGCCACCCCTACATGGCTCCCCAGGCCCCGCGCTGGTCGCTCCCTCAGTCGGTCTCGGGGCCCGGGAGCCGGGCTCCCCCCGCGGCCTCCTCATCGGCTGACCGCCGAGTCCGCCATCTTCCCAGCAGCCCCCGCACCGCAGCCCCAGACGCCAATCCCAGCTAGGTCCTCAAACCGCAGAGACGTGGCTCCCGTCAGGCCCAGCGCGCATCGTGCCCCGCCCCGGAAGGTGACCACATGGCAAGGGGGCGGGACAAGAGTAGGGCTCTGGGGCCGGTGAGACTAAGGTACCGGGAATGGCTGAGCAGAGGAAAACCAGCTGCTGCCCTATGAGAGGTGAAACAGGGCCAGGGCCCGGGCCCACCCACTCCTTGCTCTTCACTCCTTGTATTCCCAGTGGGCAAGGACTCCCAGGCTCCCCTGACCCCTCACCACGGGCCCCACACACCCAGACACAGCACGAGTGAAAACTCACAGTTTTTTAATGTGCACAAGTTCCAAAGAACAATCCTCTGTCCCCCCTTCCCCTTCCCTCTAGCAGGCTCCGTCCATCCTTGGGTCCTCGGCAGTTAAGATGGGCCTAGTGGGGTTGCCCCACTCCGCCCAGGGCCTAGGCAGCGACAGCAGCTGCCTGACCCTGAGGAGTCAACTGTCAGTGGGGGCTGAGGACCAGCAGCCCCAAGAGTAGGCTCAGCACCATGGAGGTCACAGGGAAGGGTCTCTGCCAGTCCTCGGAGTCCTTGGCTGCGGGACTCTAAGCTCCAGGACAGAGAGAAGAGGCAGGCGGGAGAGGCAGGCCTGGGCAGACAGCAGCTCCCACTGTGTCGTGGGGAGCGAGGTCCAGAGGGGCTGGCAGCCCTGCCAAGTGCCCGTGGAGGCACTACGGGCGGTACATGGCAAAGGCCAGGAGACTGAGAAGCAGAGTGAAGCCGGCTAGGCCCAGCGTGGCGGTCAGGGGGAAGTAGGGCCGATACTGGACCTGGCAGTACCAGAGCAGCAGCAGCAGCAGAAGCAGCAGGGGCAGCAGCAGACTGCCTATTTCCAGGCCGGAGGGGCCTGGCTCCAACCCCGGTGGGCACGGGGGATGTGGAGGGCTGACCCTTGTGGACACGTGGCAGTGGAGAACGCAGTTGGGAGGGAGGTGAAGGCTGCCCAGGGTTTGGGAATCGTCTCCTAGAAGTTGCCCTTGGTAGATGAGTCGCACCTGCTGTTCCCGGCCAGGAAACTGGGTCCTGAGGAGAGAGGGCCCTGGGTAAGAGAGCAGGCCTCAGCCAATCCCAGTCCCTGCCCCAGGACAACACCCCCACCACCTCCCCTCTGCCCCCAACCCAGGTCTCAGCCTTGGTGGGGCAGTCTGCTATTAAGGGACAAGGACTGGACTAGCATGTCATTTGGGGATCTACGTTCCCTCATTTGTAAGAGGAGCTCATCTCTGGTGACCCTCCTGGGTCTGTGATCATTCCCATCCCATTCTTTAGCATTTTGCTCAGAGTCTCCTCCCCCTATGGCACAGCTTACCTTTTCAAGGAGCCGATGGTGTCCTGGGGCCAGGCCCTGGCCACCTGCTCTGAATCATTGAGGAATTTCAGCCGAAGCACAAGGGGCTGCTGTGGGGGGTCTGGTGTTGCTGGGAGCCCTGGGCCAGGTTCTGGCTGTGCAGCTTGACCTCTGTGTCTCAGGCTGGGGGCCTCCGGTCCAGGGGCTGTCCCTCTGAGGCTACTCGTAGCGGTCATGGCTTTGCTGGGCTGTGCTGAAGTTGGGGTCCCTGACGGCTGGGGTAGTGGATCAACCCTCTCGGTGGTATGTGTTGAGACCCAGGCAAGGGCCAGCACCAGGAGGCAGGCAAGCACCGCAAAAATGATGGTCACCTCATCACCCACCCCTTCAATCAGGGCCATGGCACCCACCTTGCCTGCTGCGCTACTGAACTGAAGAGGCACAAAGAATCCATGAGGAGCTTGCTCTCTGGCCAAGACTCTATGAACGTCAACAGTCTCTTGACCCCACTCCCACTCTCCCATAGCCCATGCGCCCTGTAGCCAAGTCCAACTCGGCACAGTTGGCACCAATCTTTTCCAACGTGCCCCTTCCACATCACCACATCCAAAATAGTAACTTTAGATAACCCGAATTCTAGGTTTTTAACCAGCTCGCTAATTCACCAGGAGTACTAGTGTGGCCAGGACTCCTGGTAGCGTAGTGGTTACGAATCAGGCTGCTAACCTCAGGGTCAGCAGTTCGAAACTACCAGCTGTTCCGTGGGAGAAAGATGAGGCTTTCTGCTCCCGTAAAGCTTTACAACCTCGGAAACCCTGTACAGGGTCGCTATGAGTTGGAACTGACTCCACAGCACATCACAACAACAACACTAGTGTGGCGCTGTTGGATAAGCACTGGATTTCTAACCACAAGGTCAGCAGTTCAAAACCAGAAGTTGCTCCTCAGAAACCCTATATTAGGTCGCTAGGAGTGGAAACTGACTAGGCACTTAACAAATCATTCAAACTCCATCCCTAGATAAAACCTTCTGAGTAACTCCTCCCCTAAACTCAACTCCCAGCAAACTTCACCCCACAGCTAAGCTACTCCTCCCTCTACTTGACCACAAAGCTTATTTATTCCTCCTTCGCTAAAGTTTCTTCTAGGCGGGGTGAGGGAGTTGGGGTGGGGGAGGGATGGAAAGGAGCCTCTAAGTTCTCGCTCTCCGTAGTCATTTAACCCATTTACCCAAACCCCACCCGTGGCACAAGACTACAAGATACTTCCCCCATTATCAAAAGCCAAACTCCGCCCTTTGGCAAGCTGAAGTCTCCGTGGTTTGCTACCTTCAAGTTTACTCGGCCCCTCCCGACCTATTCCGCGCCTCCTCCGGAAGCGTCCCTAAATCCACGCCACTGCCAGACTCCGCTCCCGGAACGCGATACATCACCCTCCCACTTCCAATTCCTCTATCAGCCTCCCGTGCTCCCGCCCCAGAACCACGGAAGGCACAGCGGTCCCGGCCGGGGCGGGGCGGGAACCAGCTGGGAGCCAGGTCGGCTGGGCAGGCGCGGGCCCGCGCAGTACTCACCGCCGGGCCCCGCCAGCTCCATGTCGACCCGCGGGCACTTCCGGGCGGAGGCGACAAGGCTTCAGGCACCTGCAAGCACTCTCCTTCCTGAGGGGGGGCCCGGTGCATTGTGGGAGCTGTAGTCTGCGAACCGACGCAGCCCCGCCCCTCCTTAGGCAAAATTTGTAGGCAAGTGCGGGAGTCTTTAGAGTTGCACTAGTCTCCCAGAAGCTTGGGGGATAGCAAGATCGACACCCCCTACCCCACCCCAGCAGCTGGGGCTTCTGTCACTTCAGAAACTAACGTCAGCTGTAGCTCATCAAATAGCCTCTGTTCAAGATAGAGTGATGAAGGCTTTGTGGAGGTTGGACCCTAGAGCTCAGCTAACCTCTACCTTGGCCTAATCTGTGTCAGAGTCGACACCAGAAGGTATCTCGGACCCTTAAACTGATTCTTTGGTCCAGAGCCCAATACCCATGGTATCCATTCTTCTTTACTTTGCCCCTGTAGTATTATGGAAGAAGCATGGCCTTTAGAACCATCAGAAATGCAGAACTCTTTAAGTGTCAACACTAGGGCCTTGGATGGGTTGTTAAATGTCTTTAAAGCTAAGTAGTTCTTCATTCCTAAAACACACCCCATAAGGCAGTTGTAAGGAAGAAACTAGGAGTTTACTGAATAAGGTGAAAACTTAGTTGCTCACTTGCTGTCGGTCTCTTCCTCCACCCAAGCCAGGACTCAGAAATTAGGTCCTCAGAGTAAAACTCTGAAGAGGGTGTGAGTCTCAGACTGGCCTGGAGCAGCTAACTATCATCTTTCTTTGGTCTCTCTCTAGCAACAGAGATTCCACATCTTGTATGGTCAGTCTTGATTAAAAATAGCCTACCCTAGGGTTCTCATGGTACAAACAGTTCAGGTGGTGTGAACAGTTAAATGTGCTCAGCTGCTAATCAAAAGATGGGAGGTTTGAGTTCATTCAGAGGTGCCTTGGAAGAAATGCCTGGTGATCTACTGAAAAATTGGTCATTGAAAACCCTATGGAGCAGAGTGAGTTCTACTTTTGACACGTGTTTCAATTAATTGAGTCATCTTGATGACAATTGGTACAGGGTTCACATAGCTTATGCCTACTTGTGGGAACAAGTACCACAAATGTTGCTTTGGGAATGTCAGTTTAGATTTATGACTAACTTTATTAGAGAACTAACTTTATTTCTACCTCCTTTCTTCTCATTGGGTTAAAATTACTGATCTTTCAGTGGTAGCAGTCCAATGCTTAACCAACTGTGCTATCAGGGATCCTCTCATTCTACCAACATTTATTAAGTGTATACTATATGCCAAGAAAGGAACTCCGGTAGCATTGTGGTTACAAATTGGGCTGCTAACCTCAAGGCTAGCTGTTCGAAACTACCAGATGTTTCGTGGGAGAAAGATGAGGCTTTCTGCTCCCATAAGGATTTGCAGCCTCGGAGACCCTATACAAGGTCACTATGAGTCACTATGAGTCGTAATGGACTCCACGGCACATAACCACCATCCATCCATCCCACCCTATGCCAGGAGTCCTGGTGTAGCGCTGTGGGTTAATGTGCCAGACTGCAAAGCTGTTTGAACTGCAAGGTTGGCAGTTCAAGCTTACCAGCTGCTCCTCAGAAACCCTATACAGGGTCGCTATGGGTCAGAACCGTATTGATAGCACTTAACAATATGCCAGGCACTGTTTAAAGTCCTGGGACTACACTGGTGAATCAGACCCTGCCCCCTCTCTCAAGTGACTTATGTACTAATAGAGGAGGCACACATATAGGCAGCCCATCAGTGAATGCTAAAAAGGTGTATGCTGGTCACTGGGGCCACACGTTTGAGGAGGTCTTTACCCTTAGCGTTTCTCTTTGGACATTCTCTTGCTGTTAACTCTCATGAGGCACCTAAAAGAGATATGAGGCACCTAAAAGAGATATTCGGTGTTGCTTTTAGAATTACACTACACCAGAGCTGGGTGTTCTGTTCAACCACTGTATTTCACAGATGAGGCCCAGAAAGGTCCAAGACATCCTTAAAGTCACACAAGTGGAAAACCACATGTCCAAGAGCTTTGGAAGCCCCAGTGTTGACTGACTTGCATCTGGTTCTTTGGAAGCTGTGAGAAAGCTAGGAACAGTGACTAGGTTTGTACTGGAGCTAAGTTGTGGAAGGCAACTAATGCTGGGAGAGGCCCAGCTTGGCTTGGTAAATGGAAGTGTGAAAAGAATAGCCATGTGCAGTCTGCTGTGCTAGTGGACAGCTGGGCATAGCCCTGGCAGGCTGATTGACTGGGACCAGTTTCCTACACCATGCCACTTCTTGTAAGTTTTAGGGAAAGTTGTGGGGGTGGATTTGGACTGGCTAGCAGAACTGCATACCACTTACAATGCGAATGCAGAGGAATTAGGAAATTGAAGAACCGCTCCCAAGTCCCAGGAATGGGTATTAGGAAGATCAGGATGGACAAGGGGGTGAAAGGAAGGAGGATGAAGAGTTTTATGGGCTGTGGTGAGTATCTTGAACGGGTTGGGTGAGAGAAAGCTTTTTTTCCTACCTCTTCTTCCTCTATGTACTAATGGAATCCTGCTTCTTTCAGGTGTCTCAGGGGGATCTTTTAGTACTGGCTGATCTGATAGGACAAGTAAGGGAAGCCGTTGTTCAGTGTCCTATCTGAAGACTTCTCCAATGAAACTGGGGTGAGGGAAGTAAGAATACAGCTGGGAACCCAGATTCCCAACCTCTGTATTGCAGAAGGCAGTGGAGAGGCCAGACATCCGCCGGCCTGGGAGCGAAGGGGGAGGGGTGGTCGCTAGAGTTGACCTCGGGCGGGGCGCAAGGATAGGGGAGCCTACGCTGCACCGAAGGCGAGACAATGTGGGTGAGAAGCAGCTGGGCCAAGGCAGGAGGCCCTCCTAGGCTAATCAGCCGCGTTAACAGCCTCAGGCGTAGGGTACTGTTCGAGAATTGTCCTGAGGTCGGAGACCGCTCAGAGAAATGTAGGGAGGCGAAAGCTTCGGCCCATCCTAGGTGCTGTCCCGAACAGCGATCCCCTCTTGGCAGGCGGCCTGAAAGCAGCGTGGACGGGGGTGGCGTGAAGGCGGAAAAGCAGAACCCGGGTGGGAGGGGCCGTGCCGCCGCTGCGCTTGCGGGTAGAGGTCGCCGCGTGCGGCGCAGGGGGCGGGGGCGAGAACTGGGCGGTGCGCGCTGGCGGGCGGAGGCGCCGGGGAGGGGGCTAGGGTTGCGTGTGCCGGAGCCGGCGGGGGCGGCGGTGCGTGCGCATGACGCTGGGGGTGGGCCGGGCTGCGCGTTCCCGGGCCCGTTGTTGTTGGTGCTAGAGGCTGGTTTGCTAGCGGTGGGTTCGCGACGCGGGGGAGCTCCTGGCAGCGGCGGTCACAGCGTGAGCGGCGGCCGTTCTTGGCTCGGCTCGGCCCGGCCTCATTTCCCGGCCCCATGCACTAGCCCCGAGCCGCCAGCTCCGTAGTCCCGGCCCCACCAACCCCGCGTGCCCGCCGCCGTCGCCGCAGCGCCGCCTCAGGCCCCAACCGGGCTTGACTCGGGTCCCGCGGCTCCGGAGTCATGAACTTCCAGGCTGGCGGGGGGCAGAGCCCGCAGCAGCAGCAGAGCCTGGCGGCTCAGGGGGGCAGCGGCGGCGGCACCGGGGGCGGCGGACAATTCGGCGGCGCGGGGCCCGGGGCTGGGGGCGGCGGCGGCCCCTCGCAGCAGCTGGCCGGCGGGTCATCCCAGCAATTCGCACTCTCCAACTCGGCGGCCATCCGGGCCGAGATCCAGCGCTTCGAGTCCGTGCATCCCAATATCTACGCCATCTACGACCTGATCGAGCGCATCGA